ATGTTATCCTACCTTATCTTGCATGGTGATATATGTTCCTACCTTATCTTATCCGTTCCTATGCATCTAATCTATAGATCTATCTACCAACTTACCTACCTATCCTATCATTCCTATCTATCCTATCGTTCCCATCTATTCCATCGTACCTATCTTATCTATCTTATTCTACCTTATCTATCTGAGCTATCTTACGTATCACATCGATCGTATCTACCTATCTACATTACCTACCTTGTCTTTTCTTACAATATATTATCCTCTATTAACCTTGCTTGACTTATCTTCTCCTGATTCATCATATCTTACCCCATCGTATCCTATATTATCCTGTCTTACCCTATCTTATTATATCTTATCTCATATCACCCTATCTGATCCTATCTGTCTATCTATCTATCTATCTACCTATCTACCTGTTCTATCTATCCTACCTTTTCCAGCTTTCCTATTTATCTCATCGTGTGTAGCTTATGTATCGTTTCTAGCCTATCTATCTGATGTATCTTATGTCTTATCTGCCGTATCTACCTTATCTACAATATCTATCCAATTTTCCGTATCCACCTTGTCTAACTTACCTACCTCTATAGTATCCTGTCTTAGCTTCCTTAGCGTGTGTTATCTTGTAATATGTTATCTTACAATGGTTTGTTCTAATTTATCCTACCTTACCCCATGTTGGCCTATCTTACCGTGACATACCCTATAATAGCCTGTTGTAGCGACTCTTATCCTATGTATATATCAATCTCTCCATGCCTCTGTCTAGTTATCCACATCAATATATACATATACATATATGTCCATGTGTGTATATATATCATCATCTGCTAGCAATTATTATCCTATCATATCCTGCCTTATGCTGTCTTATCCTATCTTGCCCTATATTCTCCCGACTTATCCTAGCGTATTCTACCTTATCCTATGTATCTATGTGTCTATGTATCTATCTATCTATCTAGCTATCTATCTATCTATCTTATCCTATGTATCTACCTACATACCAATTTATCCATGTATTCGTTCATCCATTTATCGATCTAGCGTTCTATCTACCTAGACACCTATCTATCCTATCTATCATATCTGTTCTATCTTTCCTATTTGTCCTATCTGTCGCCTCGTATCTATCTCACTATCTTGTTCCATCTTATCTGCCTGATCTATCTTTTGTGCCGTATCTACCTTGCTTATCATACCTACCATATCTATACTATCTACCTTATCTATCTTGCCTACCTTCACTTATCATAAATTGTCATGTCTTATCTAATTTGACCCCGTGTTATTCTATCTTATCCTGCCTTATCCTATCTTATCCCATGTTGTCCTATCTTACCGTGCTATGTATCTATCGATTTATCTATCTATCTATCTAGTTCAATCTAATCCAATGTACTTCATCTATCTATCTATCTATCTACCTACCTATCTTACTTCTATGATCGCTGGGGCTCAAAGCACAAGGCCATTAGGCATACTAACAACGGAAACTTGCAGCGAACACCTGCGAACATCGCGAAAACCCGAAAACCGCGAAAACAGAAAATCACGAAAACACACGAAACCCCCTAAAACACGAAAACCAGAAAACGCAAAAACTGCGAACACCCGAACATCGTGAAAACCCTGAAAACGCAAAAACCGCGAAACGCAAGCATGGAAGAACGGTGAAAAGGCGCAAGCTTCAAGAAAAAGGCGAAAGCCACGAGAGCCAGCAACGGAGTTTTCAGCTTTTCTCGGTTTTCTCGGTGTTCTCAGTTTTCTCGATTTTCTTGGTTTTCTCGGTTTTCCGATTTTCTCGGTTTTCCGGTTTTCTCGATTTTCTCGGTTTTCTCGGTTTTCTTGGTTTTCTCGCTTTTTGAGTTTTCTCGTGTTTATTGCGGAAACCGCGCGGAACAACGTCGCCAAATACGATTGCTTAGTAAAGATAAGTTGTGGTAGTTTCCAGCTTGCTGCATCTACACTTTGAGCTGAGACGAAGTGAGCCTTTTCTTCCTTTTGGTCTCTCTTTGAACCTTTTTGGTTGACCCTTTGGTGCCTTTGGTGGCTCCCTAGGTGTTCTCAAAAAGCTGAGAGTTGAACTTTTCGGTCTTCGGACCTTTGACCTTTGACCTAAAAAACCCACCAATGTGTGATGACACCTGGGAGAGGTGGAGCAAGCAACTTACATCAAACTAGCAAACCAACTACCAAACCAGGTATCCAAAAGAAAGACATGATACGCACGGCAACGATGATCTGTGAGATGACCCATGCCCACAACCATCCAATCCTTGGAGTAGAGCCGTCCTCTTTGGGCTCAATCGGATTCCTCCTGCAAGCTTGCGTGTGTTTGTGTGTGTGTGTGTGTGTCTTGGCTTGGTCGGCACTCACCAGCTTACGAATGAGGCAATGTTCCTAATAGACCTTGCCCACTTGCACAGGCAACACAACTTGGGTTCACAAGTTGTCTGAGGCGCGTGCGTCTCTCTGAAGAACAACCAGCTTGTGAAGGCTACTAGGACAAGGGCGTTTCGTGCTAATGTCCCCTGTACACATCACGCCACCACCCAAACCAAGCCCGAACTCAGCTAGAATGGAAACCAACAAGTAGCTCTTGGCACAACCTGAAAGGGGGATCCCCCGCAGCCTTGGTCGGGGAAGGACTACACGAGGGACTAACAGCGATTGATGCGGGGATGGCAGGGGGTTGGTAACCCCTCGTCACGCTTAAGCCCTCTCATCTTCTTTGGGCTGTTGCCACCTCTTTAACAGCAATTTCAGATGCACAGTGTTTCCATCTGATTGCTTCAGCATTACCTCCTTGACGGGAGCACACCTAGTGAACATTTGCCAACAACCCGAACCACGTGTGGGAGCTGGGCACCAGGGTGCGCAATTCCCCCCCCGGTCCAAATGCTCCGCGGCTTGGTGCTCAATTCTTCCAGATCCCAGGCACGCTTCTTGGGCCTTGCTCCGGCATGGCACCAAGCGGCGCAAACGACAGCACATGCGATTCTCCGACTTGGACCCCAACAGGACTTGCCAGCCCCCAAGGGGGGACACCGAAAAGAAGCTTGCGCAAACGGTCGGGAAAAATCCTTTTTTTGGGGGGCAACCCTGAACACCAAATTTTACAGGCCTGCCCTTCAAGTGTGGGATTCGCAAACTGATTTTGCACCACACTTGGGCCAGCGCCCCGCAGTGGCAATTAGTGAAATCAAGCATGAGAGGCTACTTGAGCCGGTGAACTTTCAAATGGACTTTGAAAAAGAACTTATGCACCCTTATGCGTGTGAGTTGCGCTGGGTAACGCCTTTTTGCACCCCTTATAGTGCAAGCTGCCGCTTGTTGTGCGGCTCTCTCCCCTTGCCCGCTGTGCAGCACTAGGCACTTTGTCTCTTTGTACTGCTTCTTGGAAGGTGCACTGTTCACCTCCTGGATTCGGAATGCACAAAGCAGGCTGTGATGTGTGGTGGTTGGCATGTGGTGCCGCTTCGACTGGCTCTGAGAAGCACACGTGAATGCCGGACAACGTGTCCAAAAGATTCGCAATCCCGAAGTCCCACATTTAGGCACAAGTCAAAGGGACAATAACACATCGACACGCTAGGTTTCCCAATGTGCATTCTAATTCGCAATCTCTACATGGCCCTGTCGCCCCACCAATGGCAAGACAACTGTCGCTTGCTAAAATGGGCGTTGGTTGTGGCTCAGATAAGCTGACACAGGAAGATTGCCACGTGTGATAGTCAATTGTCTCTGAAAGTTTTTGGCGGGCTGAAGCAAGTCCCGAGCCCGCCTCAACCACAATGGGATCGGTTGGCTGTTGCTCGTTCGGCGCGCGGACCGCGTCGGGCGGCGCTGGCAACTTTTTGCATTGGTTACCGTGCAGCAGCTTCTTGCTGCGGCCTCCGCCTCCAGGAGGGGGGGGTCACAGCTCAGGACTCAACGCAATGCTTCAACTGAACGACAAGGAAAAGGACAACACTTATTCCAGCTTTCATTTCAGGACCACATAAGCACAAGTGCCAAACACAGACCCGGAACCAAAGCAATAACTTTAATTAATATCATTGAATGTTTGTGCAAAAAATCTTGTGATAGGACCTTGAACCTGGGGGTCACCCGTCAGTTCGGACCCATCATTACACTTCCGGCGCGGCGCAGTGGATCCAATGACAGCGCTTGCAGCAGAAGGTGCCCATCTTCTCAGTATTGGAGCTCGCCAGGTACGTGCATTGCTCATTACTGCATCTCCACGCCATAGCATCAGCTATGGAAAGTTGGGGAGGGAGGGTGGTTGGAACCATGCCGATGGCAAACTGATCTGAAGCGCCGTGTATTCGGACCTCACTCAAACAGTTGCATGGCGGCCAACATCAGAACAAGCAACCACCAGGTGACATTTGCCTTTACTCTGGGGAAATAGATTGTTTGCGTAACAAGCTCTGCCGTTAGGATGCTTTGGGGGACACCCACCATGCCCATGCGCGTCATCAGGCTTTACATGCTTGTTTGATGGTAATGAAATGTAATGAAAGAACACCAAACGGAAAACTGTTGATGCTTGGAGGGGTCCACATGCTCTTGACACATCGGCCCATTGCATGCGCTCGGGGATCAAACAAGCGGCAAACGGCGCCCCAGCAGCGCAGTTCGAGCCAGCTGGGAGTAAAATATACTGCTGCAATAAGCCTAGAGGGACTCCTTATGAATCCTTCATCACAAAGGAGCGTGACGTCACTTCAAAGTGGCCAAACCCAGAGAAAGGCAAGACACACCAAACAAGCCCATTGAAGCCCTCCAATAGCTAGATTCACAGCGACGCTCCCCGAAACCGGCGTGTGTTTCATAAGAATGCCCCGGAATGAGCCTGCAACTCCCGGAAATTTACGCTCCAGAAGAGGCTTAGCAGCTCAGACAGCTGAACTTGCCAGCTCGTCACTAAATCCTGTAAGACATGTTTGGGGAGCAACGTACCTGGTGGGCCAGCACGACTCCAGCCTTTTCCTCTGTCAATTTGACTTTGCCGCTGCCAATTCAACTTAGACTAGCGCATCCTTCCTTCGTCCCCAGCCTCCCTTCCACCGTTCTCAACCGCTAAGGAGTTGTAGGCAAGGCTGCCAAGGCCAAACGCCGCCAGGTCAAGTTGAGGACCTGGTTTCTTGGCGAGATTCCCCACTTTTGTGGCAGGCCAAAGGCTTGCCCAGCGTAAAGGTTGAGGCTAGCAAGACTGAGCCCAGGCTTGCATCAGTCCCGGCAGAATCCCACAAGCTATGCCACTCAGAGTCAAAGACAAACACAGACTCCAGGGCAAAACTTGAGGCCAAAGCCCCAGAGCAATACCATCGGTCACTGCCTGGCTACGATCCAATCGCAATACAGGATCTGAGAATGACGTAAGGCATGAATCAGGATTGCCTAGACGAGGGGGTTTGGGTTCTGAAAGCTGGCAACCCATTTGGGCATAATCATCCCATCGCCCAGTGGAACCGGTTGGCATGCTGCGCACTGTTGAGATTGTGAAGGCACAAGCTCACAGGGGCGAATGCGTTGTTAATGCTTGGCCAAGTCGCACTCGAGAAAGGCGGACCCAAAGCTGTCACCACTTGCCGGGAGAGCCAACGAGCCTGTCACCCGCCTGCCTTGTACGAGCCCTCTTCGTAGTAATCGTCCATGGCCGCCGAAAGCTTGCGAACCAGGAGTGTCTGTCAACATCGCAACTCCAGAGAGGCAAAGCATGCTGCCAGACAAAGTATAACGGTAGCAGGTGGCAAAGCAATCCAGCCTCCAGCACAAACAGGGCGGGAGCCGAGCTCCCTGCACCTGTGGACCTCCTACCGTCCACTGGTGTGCCCACAATCGTGCCAAACCTCAAGCAAAGGGGATGTCGGGGTGCTTAGACGACTAGATTCGGGCCCAAAACGCTGTCGCTGGGGTGTCATAGTCCCACCGCACAGTTTGGGAGCACCACACTCGTTGAGATTGTAAAGGCGCGCGCTGACAGGGACCTGCTCGCAAAAGGCAGGCCTATTCCACGCCCTGCTGTGGCAAGGAGCCCAACGAGGCCCGACTCGGGGCCATTGTTGGTGCTGCAGCGGCTGCCCCTATCGAATGCGCTTGCACGCCTGCAGGGGGCCTGCATTCCCGCGGCTTGGACGCGAGTTGCACAGCCGACCGAGTCAACATGTTGGCAACATTTGTGGCAATGCGAACGGTGTGCACTTGGCGCCACATTGGAGACACCAGGCGCTGCGCCGGGCTTCCAACCAAGCTCACCTTGCGACCTCGCCTTCCCATGGACGTTCAGGTCTTGGCAAGCCAAGAAACCAGGCGCAGCGGCAAACCGGCTGTCGCAAGCGAGTCGCCGGACGCTAGCTCGCGCAGGACATGAGTGCCTGATGGATGCTACTCAAGATGATGCTTCAAGCTCACGCCTTCAGAAAAGCAACATCTTCAGAGATGTCTCAGATTTTCAAGGACTAAGCAACCCACCCCAACGCAACGAGGTGCCTTCGCTTTCTGGCCGCGGAGGCGTGCATCAGTGTGAAGCAGCGGCCGGCAACTTTCTTTGCTTCAAAGAAGTTTCTCCACGCATGCGCTCCCACGTGGCGCACGAGATGCAGCAAATGCGGCGGACGCATCCTTGCACGGATCAGGGATGAAACATGGAACGCCCAGCTCACGGCGCATCCACAGCACATATAGAACTCTCAGCAAAACCTAGCTTGCAAAAGCTCGCAGTGGCCCTACTGCACATGGCGCAAGAAAGGTGAATGCTCAAGCGGCGCTTTTTTGAAGTGAGCAGCCTGTCCAGCTTTGATGATGACGCTGCCCTCAAACGCAATGCAAGATCTGAGACTGGCGCGAGGTACAACTGGTGGCATTGCGTAGAAGACACAGCTAGTAGGGTTGGAAAGCTGCCAATCCACGTGGACACAATCATCCCATCTCAAGGGTTGCGTTGGACGGGCGCCACCTTGCCAACCACAACAAGTCGAGCTAGGGAGGCCAGCGTGCTGAGACCTTTTGAGATTGCGAAGGCGCAAGCGGACCTGCGGCGGTGTTGCGCTGCAAGAGGCAGGCCCGCCCCACGTCCCGCAAAACCTAGAAGCCTCAACGAGGCTCGAGTGGCTTTTGTTGGCGCTTAATAGGATGAGTCTGCTCGGGAGTTCTTCTAAATTCTGCGCAACTCTTGCGCCGTTTTCCCTCCAAATTCTCCAAAGCTCATGGCAGCGTGCGATGCTAGCTTTCTTGCCCTTGCCCCTGCGCCATCACGCCAACGAGGTAGCTCAGCAAACCACAGCGGGTTTCTAATCAATACCTGCACGCTACTATCGGTTGCCTGGGGCTCGGACTTGAAAGCAAACACGGTTGTTCGCTGCCCGGCTCACTGGTCTGCCTCGCCTCTGAGACGGAACAGGGCATCTGAAAATCCTACAGCTAGCGCGTGGCAGGAGGGCCATAGCTGAGCCAAAGACCAAGCAGCAAGGCTAAGCGGATTAAGTAAGACTCATGCTAGTCCACCTGCATCTCATCAGTCAACGACAGCCAGCCAGTCTGGATGCAAACATTCAGGACTCTGGAACAATTGCGGCTCGCCGTTTCAGTCCTGACATTTGGGTACGCCGGCATTGGCGGCATGCAAAATCGGCAAAGCGGAGGAGTGGGGCAGCAGCTCCAGGAGTCGAAGCAAGCAACGTGCGAGACACACATCAGGGGCATGGGCATATGAGAGAATCGCTGAAGCCGAAATGTTTGACACAGAAAGATCGCCCCCACAAACCTCCACACCAATAGAAGCTCAAGGGTTGGCCTGCAGCAAAGCAAAACCCTCTCTCTAAACATCCGGTCAACATGGCTCGGCTACCACAGGCAGCCCTGTCCGTTCATTGGCAGCTCGTGGCTCCAACCAATGTCAATAACACAAGTCACTGGTTGGCAAACTAGGCTACCCCGTTTGGCTTTGCCCCCGCTTCTTGTAAAGCTTCAGCCGGCATCTGCGAAGCACCGTCACCGGTGTCGTGGTAGCGGGCCTTCAGCCGGGGCCCACAGCATGCCGCAAAACCCATCTGTTGCAAAGCACGACTTTGCATGTGACTATGATGGGAACTCTACAAGCCTCAGGATGGGGTACCAACCGAGGTTGCGCACAAGGCTTGGCTTTGATGCCTGATCGCAAGTTCAAGCTGTTCATACGGCGCAGGAAGGAGAAAGTCACACATGGCGCATTGTAAAGGTGTGCCCCAGGACCTGCATCCAAAAAGCCAAGTGGCCCGTGGACTTGACAACACTTAGCCAATCCATGCCAATGCAGGTGTTCTGCGCAGGCTTTGCGCAAGGCCTGCGCATGCTCCCCACGAACTGCCATTGATTAGTCAGGTAGCTTGGAATGAGGAAAATACAAAGTGGGCGAACTTGGCGAGGTGGCAAATACGGTTGGTGCGGTTGTATGCTTGCGCGATTTTGCGCGCAAGCTTGCAATGGCCGGAGTGCAAACCCTTCAGCAAATTCTCTGCCGCAGTTGCCAACGCGGGCACCCCAAAGGCCAAAGAAGCCTGTCTGCCCCATCTTGCGCGCCCCTTGCAACACCCTGTCCTGATTCAGGAGTTGCAGGTGGTGGAACGAGCGTTTTAGGCGGAAGCAAGTGAGGGTCTGTTCGGTGTGTTGCGCGGCGTGCAAACCTCCGCCGTGCAAACCAACATGCGGCAGTGCAAGCTGCTGCGCGTTTTTATTATTGAATGTTCAACAATTGCCAGTCAACTTGGGCGCAAACTTTGATCTGAAACAGTTGGCCTCCCTGCCCCAACGTCCGGGCACGGCATGTGGAGACTTTTGGAGATGGCAAAGGCCGAAGGTGGCATGGGGCAGTGTCAGCGCTGCGGGCCCCGTGTTGTGCGCGGCTTTGAGTTGCAACCAATCAGTGTAAGCACCAACCGAGGTTGCGCAAAAAGCTTGGCCTTGATGCCTGAGCTCAAGTCTTGAGAATCGGCTTTCTGCATTCCGAGTTTGAATGCAATGTACGTTCTGGTCAACTGGCTGCTAGCCTCTCAAATTAGGAAGTCAGGCATCAACTCTCATCAGTTGGGGTGTTTTCCTAGCACACCTTGGCCCCATTTGGCCCCGCGAAACTCTGCTCCAAGGAAACCCCCTTCCTCGATTCGCAAAGCCTGCTCAATCCAACTTGTTGGCATACCTGGACAGGTCTGGGCTGCAAAAAGTCATTTTTCCCCAAACAGGCTTGGAGGCAGAACTACTTGTTCCCAGACTGAAAAAGCAGTTTTCTTTCAAAAGGCAAACATTTTACACACTTTGGGATATGCTGGTATTGTTGTCGCAGTGCCCCAACTCAACGACATTCAATCCCAGCCTGCCTCATTTGCCAAGATACGCGCAATCCCTCTTTTGCGCGTGTGGGTGGCACCAAAGATTGGAACACGCAGAGCACCTGGCACATGCCAGCCCAACAATTACAAGCGGGTATGTGCCTCTCTCGCAGGGTGCTTATACTGGGTGCTATTCAGGATGATGCTGATGCTGATGCTGATGCTTCAAGCTCAGGCCTTCAGCTGTAGTGTTTCTTCGTTTCGTGCAGCTCGCGCTTGCATCCATATCGAGTGCTGAAATCAAAGCCACTGCCATATGGAGTCGGAGCCTGATGTACATTCGGAACCCACTTCCCAAGTTCAAAATTGTGCACACGCTGACGTTGTTGTCAGTCAGCTGAGATGTCCATGCAAAATGGTTGACTGGGTTGCGAAAGCAAGCCGAGGTCTGCTCGGAACACGGAAGAAACTAAATTGGAGCCAAGGCTACCTGCTGCGATCTCTGAGATTGCCAAGGGCTAAGCAATTTGGCCCGTCTCACAGGGAACTTTCATTTCTTTCCGTGAGACATGCGTCAATGTCAAGCGCTGAATTCGCTCGAGCTGACACAGGTCGGGGGCTACAGGCAGAACTCCAGCCGCCGAAAACCGGTTGTTGTTTTAGCACAGTTTCTCTGCGCGTGCGCCAGCGCAGGATGAAACAAATTTGGCGAAAGCGTCCCCTTGCGCAATGCAAGGCTGAAGCATCGACGGGAAGCGGGCTATGCAGTCAGGAGCACCCACTGCTCAGCACACTACTCATCACGCAACAATTGAGGAAGGTCTGGCACAATGGTAATTGGAGATTGCAGCATGTTGCTTTTGCGCACCCTGCCTGCAACAATATGGGCCACGAACTGCACTATGGTCAATTTAAACGAAAAAGTCCACGGCCAAGCCAGGCTCGGAAACAGCAATGCCCTCAGGCATGAGCGCGACCCCGCACGGGCTCACGCGTCAGCCAGGTATCCCTGTGTTGAGCCGAGGGTGGCGCATGCGCAACTGTTGCAGCAACTCTGACGGAACCTCGACTTTTGCATGGAAGCCCCACGGCCATGATGAAGCTTATGTTGTGCTGACTCCATCCCTTGCCGCCCTATGCCACCCTCTTCTCAAGGCAGCTCTGTCTCCCAGATGATTGAAAAACAAGGTAAACCACGTGCCTGTTTGGGAAGGCGCATTGGTGTAGTTACGATGCACTGCCAAATGAGCAGCTGCCCCCACAAAGTACGCCCCAGCTTGGAGTCAAACAAAGGTCTAATGAAAGAAAGCGCGCTTCCCTATCGACACAGAACCCGAAAGAACCTCTCGTTAATTACTTGAAGACAGTTGCAGCGAGAAATGTAGACAAGAATGATGTTCCGCATTTTTGTTTAATGATTTTGGGAGAGGGATCATTGGCCTAGCCCAGGCCCGAAACAAAGACCGTCCATTACCTGGGGCAGCAAGCTTTGCTTGTTGCTTCACACGCAGCTTTTCTCTACTGCATCTGGCGGCTCCACGGCACAACCACAAGGATTGCAGCGAATGACTGCAGCCCAGAGTTCCTGAAAATGCCTCTGATCTGTTCCGAAATCGCCGGCAATGATCAACGAACCATGGCAGAAGCGGTTGCTGGAATTCAAAGCCTGGCGTATTGACTGCTCGCATCAACATCCACTTGATCAATTGGCGACTAGGGCAGGCCCTGCGAAAGTTGTAGAGGTGAAAAAAGAAGAGCCCAAGTCCAGACTCAAATGAGGACCTCGGATTGCAGATTCTAGCCAAAGGTTCACTCGCTCCCTGACGTGCATTGCACGAGATCGGCTGCTTCACTGTCAAGGCGGCGGCTATTTGGCAGCAGGGGCGGGGTCTTTCGGAATGCCGTTGTTAGCAGCCTTCCCCTGACGCTGATGCAAGCTGTCACTTGGCGAGGTTGAAGGGGCACGCAACAAAGCAGGACCCATCAATCCAAAGAACTGCTGTCAAGCAGCGTCTGCGCCAAGCTGGGAAAAGTTGACTCCATTCAAACAAGCGGTCTCCCCAAGCCTCTTGCGAAAGGAATCAGTTCAAGTCTTTTCAGCCCTGCCTTCGCGCTCACAGCGCTGAAGGCGGTGAAGGAGGCGATGTTGCCTGCCACCTTGGGACATGCTTCCAATTCCCCCGTTTCACAGCCAAAGCACCATCCAGCAATAGACTTTCCATTTGCAAAGTGGTCCTTTGAGTTGCTGTTGATGCACCATCTGAGCTGCGGGAAGGTGTGCTGCTTCCAGCAAGACACTTCAAGAGGCTTAAATAGAACACCTATTGGCCAAGCTCAACATGACTGACTAAGAGTGATCCTAAAACGGCTTGTGAATCAAGGCATGGTTCTGGATCACATGTGCATCGTTCAAATCCAAGGTTCTGACGCTGCATTCAGGCATCCAACATGCTGCCAGCGATCCGTGAAAGGCAGCACAGTGGGCAGCCGAGCCCCATAGTAACGAAATGCTGCTGTGAGCATTACTGCCAGGGTGGCAATTGGGCAAATGTGCTGGCCTCTTGCCATGAAACAGGTAACAATCAATCAATTGATCACCAACAAAGCGATAAAACAGTTCCCCAAAACACATTTTTTGAAACGAATACGGGGGTCAACAGGTTTGAGACTGACATAAAATCCATAACAGGCTGTAGCAGGCAACACACAACAGCACTGCCCCTAGGAGCCCCTCCCGTTTATGTTTTCTTGTGTTTTTGTTCTTTGTTGTTCTTTCTTCTTTTTTTTGGGGGGGGGGAGTGGGACTTTTGATTGTCATGATTTTCAAATGCAAAGGCCAACCCCAAAATATTCAAAAAGACACGTTCCAGAAAGCACAGCCAGCAAGGGGACCGTGGCTACGGACGACATGCTTTTGTCTGTTTGAGAGTTGCATTCTGGAACTTGAGTACGCCCCCCCCCCACTCTTTCAACCAAGGGCAGGGCTGCAAAATCTGAGTCATCCCATGCTAAGCTGGCAGCGGCTGCCAAAAACACTGGGCCATAGATTCCCGAAGGCAGGGTCTGCAGCGGGCACGGGACAAACACATGACATTGCCCAACAGAACCTGCAAACTTCTTGCATCAGTGCAGAGCCCAAATCTTCATGAAATGCTCTTCGGCCGTGCCTCAAGTCCCAAGATCATGGACAAGGCAATGGTAGCAGCCTTGTCAGGGCGAGCAAATCGCTTAGCAACAAGCAGCTTGGCTTGGGATCGCTGAGAAGGTTGGAGCGAGCCAAGACGAGGCCAACATCAACATGGGGGCTGAGGGGACGAGTCAGGGGCCCCTGCCCTCCAACACGAGGTCTCAGCAGCCCCTCCCAGCCCATGAGGCCTCGCCTTATTGAAGTTCCCCGCGAAGGTGGCATGAGTTGGAGACAGCTTATGCACCTTGGCAGCGGCTGAGGATCAAGAAAGCCCGTATTACCGTAAAGACTGTACCAGCGGAACATTGATCATGCTGGGATTCCTGGGGCTGCGCCAGTGTGTACTGCAAGATGTTGAAGAAAAATGACATCACCTGAGCTCCACATGCTCCCAAAGCACGATACAACAAACGGACAACACATTCCATTCGCACATCATCTTGGTGCCGTTCCACACTATGACTCTAGCTGAGGCATGCACGCCGGAAAACACGACTGGTGTCAGCACCCAAGGGTTCTTGGACCTAGGATGGTGGTCAACCGTTTGCTTTCTCAGCTTGCACTTGGAGATGTTGAGCATCAAAGGCGGTTAGCGGTTGGCAAGGAAAAACCAGCAGCCCGTTCACGTTGAAATGGATTGACCTTGGATTTACTTGCTTCTCCCTTATCTGCTTTTTGCTTAACCAGCGACGCCATGAGATTCTAAGGAGATCCTCGCAACATCTTCCCGTTACAAGGGGACAAGTCACCCGCCAAAGGCTCAGAATGTCCTGATTGCCGGTTTGCACTTGGCTATTATTGCACATTCTGCTTGTCCCCCCAAGAACTTGTTCTCATCGTTCATTCTGCAACCAACAAATCTAAATGCAACGGGTTAACGGACACCGATGGAGCACTCAGTTGCCTCGCCAGCTGCCCTGGGATGCTCTGGGGTCGCCGCAACACCTCCTGCAAAACCTGCCAGTCTGTCATGGAGGGATATGACGGCCTGGCGGCGGCGTGTCCCAAACACCGCCGACTGCCATTGGATGAAGGAAATTAGGACAAGCCACAACTTAGCCAATTGTTCTTCCAACACGGGTGATCCTTCATAGGACTATGGCTCCTCTAATTCCAGAACTCCAACTCAGTTTTTGCCGGAAAAGCCAACAGTTTCAACCACCCAAACGCCGCCGGCAAGGCCATTGGCTCATCGGATGATAGACCACCAGGGAGGGCAGCATGAGCGTTAGCCTTGCTCGCTTTTGAGATGATGAGAAACTTGAGTAGCCAACCTTCTCACGTCTGCCGAAAGACACACACACAATATATATATATATATGCATGAATACATATGTATATATATATATATATGTATAGTCTACGTGTATAGAATTTATGTGTATACTTAAAAATGTGCGCTAATACGTATTTACACGCGGGCACGGCTCGGTCGCGAACTCCTTGCAAATCTCAGCGCAGGGCCCTGCCGGCAAAGCCATGTAACAGGTGGTGTCCAGCCTCAAGGTTCACAGCTGAGCCTCTCGCCAGCCTCCGGTCTCAAAGGGGACCCTCCAAAGTCAGTGGTCTCTTTGCAGAAACACTCAATTTTTCAAAGGCCCTCAAAAGAGACACACCCCCTTGCAGCTCTGGCCGCCCTGGCGCCGGGCGGGTTAAGCTTCATCACGCCAGCCAGGACCATGTTACTCGCCCCCGCGAAGATGGAGGCGACCGTGATGATGACCCCCAGCCTGGTGTGAAACACTTGGCAGCCAAAACTCATCTTGCGGAATTGAACTTGGAGTAATTGGCACTTGAAGGGAGGCTCCTGTCAGCAACCGGAGTGGCTGCTTGTCCAAGGATATGTAGACTCAACACAGCACAAGCCAGAATTGATATCCTGGAACAGCTTCAGTTCCGTTGCATGACTCAGCTGACCTTCACTCTGCCATGGCCCAGGTGCCCGGCGTTAGCGCGGCAGATTCTTCTGCTGTGCCCTTGGCTTGGGCCTTTGCCTGGGTCTTGAGTCTGAGCTCAGAACGTCTCAGAACTTTCCAAAGCGTAGTGAGACCCAGGACGCATTTGATACCACTTGGCTGAGGCAATTAGATGCATGCTCGAAACAAGGCGATGGGTGTCTTGAAAAGGGAGGCCAAAGGTTGCATATGAGCATGCTGTTCAGCAACCTGGCCTGGTGCCACACGGACAGAAACATCAACATACACGCGAGCGCAAACATGACATAACGAACACGCCATGCTGGGCACATGGCATAGCTAGCTACGCCAGCGCAGCTGACGCCTCAGTTTTGAGCCACCAGGACACGGGGTAACCATAGTAAGGAAATAAAACCGCTTCACGGGAAATAAAGCCGAGGGCCAGCCGGCACCATGAAAAGGCATTAAGGATATAGGCAGATCCAGCAAGAAAATAATAAAAAAAAAAAAAAAAAAAAAAAAAAAAAAAAAAAAAAAAAACATGACAAATAAAAAGATACGACGGACCGGACGGACTGGACGGACCGCGAACCGGACGGACCGGACGGACCGGACG